CTAACCATCCCATCCGTCCGAAGACTGAACTGAGCCTGCTGGCCAAGCTCGCTAATGGGATAGTGTACCTTCCCGACCATTGTTCTCAAGCCATTGTTCCATCCGTCAGACGTGGGCAAAAAAGCCACGAGCGGACCAAATCAAAAATAGGAAGTTGTGTACTAGGATCCAGTAGTATCTACCTGCCTCAAAGCAAGCCAGTCCACTGAAAAGGCGCTTCAACTACTAGTGAGCGGTCTGGAAGCCCATTTTAATGCCGTACACAAAAGTGGCAGACGTGATTCAAATCCCGACTGACACCGAAAATGGCCACTGACCGCTAAACTTTGGAGTATTGAATCTTATCCCTCATAAAGCTTCCAAGCCAGCTTTCCCCGCAGTGGGATGCGAAACCTGGATATAACCGAGATTGCCAGATAGAGTTTGCCTTGCAAACCCCCTTCGTGTTGATCCTGCCAAATCCGAAAAGGATATAGACGTCATCATAACAGGGCGCTTTTGCGAATCTACAACGAAAAGCAAGGGAACGGCTGAACTTGACATATCGGCCATGTCACTCCACTAGATGGCAATTCCGACGAGAATTGCCATCGAATCAGGGATATCGCTCCCCATATCCACAATTCTAGAGACCAGTTTTAGGGGAACTGATGCTTACCTAGCAGGAGTATGACATTGGGTACATAGGGACATACCGCAGTCAACTGACTATTGAGTAACTTGTGTCCAGTCTCACGAGAACAGAAACTTGGTGGCAAAACATTTGGTCTAATCGGTCAATAAATACGACCATGATCCGGAGGCTAAAGGCTCCCAGTCATCAAGCTAGTTGCAAGCGAAGTGTAACGTTGTTTCTACCCTTATGTGTGTAGAAGCACTCAACGTAGTAGTGGCTGAGGACCTAAGGTAGGACGGGTAGGATGGTCGCCACAAGCGGGATAGCAATTGAGAGTTGATTGTTTACACCCGGGATCTCGAGCAGCAGACCTACCTTTGGTACCTGCTTTGTCGAGAGGTGCGTGTATGTGTGTGAGTGGGTACGGAAGAGCATACGTCCATGGTAGGGAGGCGCCCAGGAACTAGAACCAGAAGGAGAGAGCGGCGCTCACTGTTTAGGACACCAGTGGACGAGCACTGTACCAGTAGATGGACAATTAATCGGCAGAAATTCCTTGCATCTTGGAGAAGGATTTAGTGGCTGAAAGTTGGCTGCATACCCACCATTAAGTGTGCTGTTAAGTTGGCTACACACGGCCTCAAGCTTGGATAATCGCATTCGTTAGTAGCGGAAGTGGAGATGGGATGGCTTTGGCGGTTGGCCACTCCCAATTACAGTATAGTTGAGCCTTTAGTGCTGCGGAAGGCTTCCGGCTGCCGTGACCCGCCTGGCAGCCTGGCAAGACTTGACTTGAGCGTTCCTTTACTGCTTTGTAACTACTAACTAACTAGTTAACTAGGCCCTCCGGAACTGACTAACTAACTATGTACAAAGCAGTGCTTAGATAAAATGCCTTGGATGCCTGTTGGGCGGGAGAACCCCCCAAACCCCATCGGTGCTAGATGGCCACCCCCCGTTGTCGCTCTCGTCCACATCTTAATTCCCAGTGTTAATTAGCCCCTATCCCCGACTTGTCTAGAGGAAAATCCACACGACTTGGCCTTTCCTTCTTCCCTCGGCGCAGATCCTGTCATCGACGCGATTTTTAGATCATAGGCTCGAACCCAAAGCCTAGACGTCAGGCCGGGGCCAACCTCTCTATGCTTACTTTTTTCTCTAGCCTGCAGTAGTGAACTGTCAACCAAGACATCGACGCACGACACAAAATGCTTTCCCTCTGTTTTCCCTTTTTCTCTCCCCATCGTGGACACGCCCTTTATGTCACTTACCGTATGCCGTAGGTACCCGTTGTATTCCTTTAGTCCTCGGTAAAACGGATATCTCGTATTCAACAATTTTGAAGAGATCAAGGAGCATTGTGCCTGATACAATCTGTCATACGGGATGTTTGAAATCCAAAGAAGTGATAGTTTCGATGACTCGCCGCATAATCAAGCGACCAGCAGTATCTTGACAGTCCTATGAAACATGCCGCACTTTATTCTCCGGAAGCTATGGAAGCTTTATTTTTTTTTGGCCTGCCTTTTCGCTCCCTTGAGCGCGATCGATCGACTTGATTGATATTTCCCGGACCGAGTAAGGATCGACCTCCGTCCTTACCCGCCCGTTCCTGACCCCATCGCCCCGATTTTCCTTGCTTTTCCCCTATTGATCCGGGTCGCGCCTGTCAAACCTGGATGACGAAGGATCGGCCCTCCGACAAAAAGTAAAAGCAAACAGGGAAAAAGAAAAAAAATAAAAATTATTTCTGTTCTTTTCCTTTTTCCTTTTTCTATTTTTTTTCCTTCCCCCCCCCGTTTTCACGAGCGGTGATGGTGGGAAAATTGTGATATGCAGCTAATCCATATAACAGCTAGCATGCAGTACTAACGACTCCATTCTCATCTTCCTATGGCCTCAATTATCCGAAGCGCCGAATCCGTTTCTCAAGCCCCCCTGCCATCCTTGCATGGATATTGATTTTTAGCTCGCATAGACTCTCCCGAAAGTATCAGCTATTTATGCCAGGAAGGTTTTGATCCGATAACTAATCGCCGCGGCGGTCGGAAACCATCCAGCCCGATGTAGAAGTTGAGTGGCCAATGATAGAGTTCGGGGGTACATGCTGGGTTCACGGTAAACATTGGCTACCCAATGGCAATTCGAGGGCTCCCTCCATACAGGATCGATTTATGGAACTCAATTTCACCGATCTTCCCATCAACAAACCATAACCACGGAGTATATGTAGCGAGGTTTATGCGTACATAGCGATCTATTCGGATAGCCACAAGCGTATGTACACGTCAAGTGGCCACCACGGAGGAACGCAAGGGCTGAACTCTCGTGTTCAATGCAGCATTGATGCAATGCCGTTGGTGAGAATCTCGCCGTCGCTAGTATGTACGTAGTAGCAACTTCGGAGAAAGCTTGAAATAGCAACTAGCTTCCTCCCAAAGAACTCTCCTTTCTCAATTTTTGTCTGGTTCAGTTCAGTTGTGGGTGTTGAACAATTCGTCATCTTGCATTAGAAGCTATCCTACTCTCCGTTGGAGTGATCCGTCGGATTTAGATTTGGCATATGAAAGATTCATGCTAATAGCTTACTCATGCGCTTCAGAAATCTATCATCTCATTATTTTCACTACTTTGTATGTACTTAATATAAGGATATCTATTGGTAGAATAGCACTAGCTTTGCTCCGACGGTGTGACCGTCTTCACTGCCTAAAAGGGGAAACGGTAAACTCCGCTGTTAATAACTTTAATACATTGTTGCCGCCTTGACACCCACCCTATCTGGGTGTACCTGATCCAAATCATCCAATATACTTTGCGGAGTACATGATGAACACAGAAAAACATGCGAAACGAGAGTATTCTGTAAGTCCCAGCATAAGTGGACTTGATTTATCAGGTTAAATCGCGTGCAAGGAAAGTGACGAAAAAAAAAAGGTACCTATCATGTGAGACCCTCTTCGCTTTTTCTTTTTGTTAATTTCTTATCCCCCCTCCGAGTCCGGAAGATTATTTTTTTCCCTTCCACTCGAAAAAGGAATACTAGCCCCTGGTTGTGGGGTGAACGTATACGAGTTTCAGTTGGACATGAGATCCATACTCATAACAAGGCATATTATCGACTAGAGCCGGCTTTAGGGTATGGAGCCGTACAAGCCCCAATTAGATCCGAGTATTAGCTTCCCGATCAGGAACTGGACTTTTGTACCCGGTCAGTTAGCAGCAACTTCACCGTCCACCACTCTCCGTGTCCACTCCACCCCCCAGTAGAACCTGGATCTCTTTTCCCTACTCGCCTGCAGTGTCTGAGTTTCGGGGCTTCCTACTCGCTCCCCCACCGTTCCGACAGTTCTCCGACATATTTCTGAGTACACTTAGTGTTATAGCCGCTACGCGCAATTACCCAGGTAGGTATACCTCCTGGTGACTTGGCCCAACGTCGAGACTAAGACGGCTGAGACCTTTCACTTCGCCGAATTTATTCCCGCTAGTCTCACTACTGGTCAGCATGCAGTCTGTCAGTCCTATACCATCGATTCCGGCATGTAGTGGAGCTGGATGCTTATGCAGCGCCTTTCTGACAGACAGAGTTCCCTAATCGAATGTTGTTTGGCGTTCGAGACCGACCTCGAACCTCCGGCTTGATTGAGAGCCGACATTATGCACCCAACACTGGATACGCCCTCGTTATGCGCCCCAATTTTGTGCACTAACCAACGTCATGCCTTGGCCTGTATTGTATTGTTCAGCGTGTCAAGGCCGGTTTCCTTGATTTGGATTTGGCCTGCCCAGTGTCAAATCAGAATTTTTTTTCTCACTCTCATCATCAATTTCTTTTTGTCTTCTTTGGTCCTTTGTCTCGTTGCCTTTCCTGCTGTATATCCACCCCTGGGAGATACACTACCAAGTGGGCAGCCCGAGTCTGATGGTTTACGCCATCGGCTTTTGGGTTCAAGCGCCCTGCAGAAGTTTGTAAGCCATGGAATCTATTCCCTGTTGCCTCTTCAGCTTCGCCTAAGCAAGGGCATATGGAGTATACTGTATTAGCGTGGTGGCCAAATCCACGCCATTCATTGCACTACTTCCCGACCCAGTCATTGGCCGCCGTCATTTTCGTATTTCGATGCTCGTAAACAATTGGAAATGCTGCTGAGGGAATTCCGCGTCTAGGTCTCTCTACCGATCTATTTTGGGCCCAGAGAATTACGGGGGGGCCCCATGATAATGGTGGCTCCATGGGCACACATTTGACTCCAGTTTAAAAGTAGCATAATGTACGGGTTGGAGATTTCTAGGATAACCCATCCACTCCCTTCCCCTTCTCCTCTAGGTGTCCCATCCCAAATCCTCAGAGAGATACTTTCAGATACCCCCCATCTACATCATGGCCCAACCTGTCTCTTGTTGCTTGCCTAAGTTTGGCACGAGAGCTCATGGGCCAAGGCGGCCTGCTTCGTTGAGGATCCGGACGAGTTCTTCCCAGACTCTCCAGTTGCTGGCCGCTTGGGACCAATCCGAGTTAGATTCTTTACTCAAGGCCTCTTGGGCCTTGCTTCTTCATCGTTATACTGGCCTAGAGGACATCTGCTTTGGTTACCAACCGATTGGAGTCGATGCCGGTCCCCGCGATACTGTTCCTTCTTTCGATACCCATAATAATATTCCCTTAACTTTTAATCTGACCATCACCGAGGACGACTCTGTCCATGCCATTTTGCGCAACACGAAGCAGCAGAATGACGCTGAAAAATGCGGAAATTCAAGCTCGAGTTGCCACAGTTATACCCTGTGCAATACCCTTTTAATGCTGCGCAACTGTCGCAGTGTTACGAAAGACCCCAGAGCCCCTCTTGTGCAACCGGCCTTGGCAATTCCCTTGCCCGAAAAGGTGGGTGACTTTCCTCGTTCTCTGGCTTCCTCTCACTTTCCCTTCGCTCTATCTCCCCTTTCCCCCCTCCCAACTTTTCTCGTGTGCGCTTTATCAGCCCACTGCTGCAGGTAGCCTTGGCCTTTTAGCCCGGACTGGCTGACCCCTCCTTAGTGCCGCGTTCGACTGCACGTCAAAGTCCTGCAAAAGGATGTCGGTATCTTCTTTGAATGGTGGAACAATGACATGTCCACTGAGCATATGAAGAGCGTTGCCGACTACTTCGAGCAGATACTTTCACGCTTACTCTCGGCAGAAGACACCGCCGCGAGGGACCTGAACCATTTCTCGGATCGAGATTGGTCCAGAGTCTGCAAATTCAACTCTACCACCCCTCAGGCACATGACCGCTGCATACACGAGGTCATTCATGAGCAAGTCCTGGCTCGCCCCGAAAGCGAAGCAGTTTGTGCGTGGGATGGAAGTTTGACCTACCAAGATCTAGATGTTCTGTCATCTCAACTTGCTCATCACCTTCACGCACACGGAGTCGGTCCTGAAACATGTGTCGCTCTGTGCTTCAACAAATCAGTAAGTCAGCCATCAGAGATCGTTATGGCCTTTTGGCCAGGTTGTGTCATTAGGCGATTCTCGGCAGCTTCAGCATTTGGTACTGACTGATTCTCATAGAAATGGAATGTAGTGGCAATGCTGGGTGTTTTGAAAGCTGGCGGTGCTTTCGTCCCCCTTGATCCAACACATCCAACCTCTCGCTTACAATCGTTGGTGCGCGCTGTAAAAGCCAAGATCATGCTTTGCTCTAGAGATCGGGTAGGAGATTTGTCCGGAGTAGCGGAGATGATAATACCTCTGGACCAGGCCACCATAGACGAAATCTCCCTTCCAGCTGAAGACATCCCTCAATTGCCGGATGTACGAGGTCACAATGCAGCCTACGTGATATTCACTTCTGGATCAACAGGAGAACCAAAGGTGCGCTATCTTCGGAACTCCCCCCAAATCCACATTAACGGCCCGCGTTTAGGGTACCATGCTCGAGCACAGAGCCTATGTATCCGGAGCCGCTGCCCATGCTGGGCCGCACCATATGTTTTCGACTTCGCGTGTCTTGCAGTTTGCGGCGCACACATTCGATGCCAGCCTTGTCGAGATATTGACTACCTTGTTGCAAGGCGGCTGCGTCTGTATCCCGAGTGAAGAAGAACGCTTGAGTGACATAGTCAAGGTCATCAACGAAATGAACGTAAATCATGCCATCTTGACACCTTCCTTCGTCGAATTCGTTGAAGCTGCGCAAGTCCCAGGCCTTGAGACCTTGATTCTGGCTGGAGAGGCAATGTCGCAAGGTCAACTGGAAACATGGTCGTCCGCCCTCCACCTTATCAACGCCTATGGTCCCACAGAAAGTTCTGTCGCCGCTGTTGTGAATGACAAAGTCACACCTTCTTCTGATTGTCGGGATATTGGACTCCCCGTGGGCGTACGTTGCTGGGTTGTAGACCCGAGCAATCATGACCAATTAGTACCGGTGGGTTGTCCGGGAGAACTACTGCTCGAGGGACCGACACTCGCCCGATGCTATCTCAACAATCCACAGAAGACGAGTGAAGCATTCATCCATAATCCAGCCTGGATGAGAAGGGACGGTATCGATGATGGTAGCCGGAGAGTGTATAAGACGGGTGATTTGGTAAGATACAACTCCGACTATGGCTCACTGACGTATATAGGAAGAAAGGACACACAGGTGAAGTTTCACGGACAGAGACTCGAGCTGGGTGAGATAGAAAACCAGCTGGCTGCCGACCCAATTGTCACACATTGTCTAGCTTTCCTTTCAAAAACAGGTTTCTCTGCAGGCAAATTGGTGGCGGTCATATCCTTATCTGTTCACTTCGAATCCCAAACGGAATCTAACGCAGCACCACTCAAGCTCCTCGATGCATCGAAGAAGACCTCTATCGTTGCAGAAGTCCGCGAGAGATTATCAGCCAAGCTACCAACTTACATGGTACCTTCTGTTTGGCTATGTGTGGAGGCATTACCGTTGCTTCCATCTGGGAAGCTGGACAGAAAAGCGACTGCAAGATGGATTGGAGATATGGAACGAGACCCGTATGCCCAAGCTATAAGCGCCCGGCCTTTGCCTGCGGATAAAGCCACGCTTCCTTCAAGTGCCACGGAGGACAAACTTGCTGCGATCTGGAGCCGGGTTCTCAATATTCCTCGAAGCCAACTTGCTCTCGATGAGGGCTTTTTGAGTCTTGGTGGAGACTCTATTGCCGCCATAACGTGTCTCGGGTATTGCAAGAAGCAAGGAATGGGCTTGACGGTACAAGAGGTACTTCATAGCAAGTCAATCAAGGAGCTGGCTACTCGGGTTAAACAGATCGATCAGTCTGTTGTCTACGAAGAAAAGATTGATGAGCCGTTTGACCTTTCACCAATCCAGAAGCTTCACTTTATGGTCCGGAACGAGGGCCAAGGCCATTTCAACCAAAGCATTCTCACGCGTCTGAATCGAGATATTGATGAGCATAATATGCGACGCGCAATTGAGACCATCATTAGTCGTCATTCAATGCTCCGTTCCCGCCTGGTCGAGTCACTTGTTGAGGGGAAAATGCGGCAACGAATCACCCAAGATGTAGCAGGGTCTTACCGCTGGCGGTCTCACAACAACAGCAGCCGAAGCGAGGTCGACCATGCCATCTCAAACAGCCAGTCATGCATCGATGCCTTCCTTGGTCCCGTACTTGCAGTCGATATCTTCTATGGAAATGACAATTCTCGCCTGCTGTCATTAGTTGCCCATCACATGGTAGTCGACATTGTTTCGTGGAGGATTATATTGGAAGACCTGGAAGACCTACTGATGAACCCTGATCAACCAACATCACAGAATGGCTCCCTTCCGTTTCAGAACTGGTGCCAAATTCAAGCAGATCGTTGTCAAGAAGCGACAGAAGAACGGGCCAGGACTTTGCCCGAAGTTCCCGCACCCGATTTTGCTTACTGGGGACTAGATAACCACAGAACGACCTATGGAGATGTGGATTGTGAAACGTTTGATCTTGATAGTGATGTTACTCGTCAGATTCTGACTGGGTGCCACCAAAGTCTTCAAACGGAGCCAATCGATCTTTTACTGGCAGCTTTGCTACATTCGTTTGGCGAAACATTCAAAGACCGATCATTGCCAGTTATCTACAATGAGGGACATGGGCGAGAAGTCTGGGATTCATCAATAGACATCTCTCGCACTATCGGCTGGTTTACCACATTGTATCCCATTCTTCTATCGGATCTTCCTGCAAAAGATCCAATTCAAACGGTTGTACGTGTCAAGGACTTGCGACGTTGTGTTCCGGATAATGGTCGACATGATTTTGCTCGTCGTATGTTGGTTCCACGCAAAGATGGGACCTGCCGGCACCATAGCCCAATGGAGATGTCTTTCAATTACGTTGGCCAGCATCGTGACTTGCAGAGAAAGGATGGGCTCTTCCAGCTTATGGACCAGATGGCTGGAGAAACAGGCCGCGGAGGCGCAGCGGCTGACTTTGGTGAAGACACTCCTCGCTTTGCACTGTTCGAGATATCTGCAATGGTTGTACAGGATCAACTTCGCTTCATATTCTCGTTCAATAGGAACATGCAGCATCAGAGAGGTATCCGAGATTGGGTGAGGTGCTGCGAAAAATTGCTGGCATCCCTGGGCGAGCACTTACAGACCTTCCCACCGAAACCAACGCTGAGCAGTTTCCCCATGTTAACAATGACATATACCGAACTCGATGCGATGGTTTCGAAAAAGCTACCAGATGCCGGTATTCAAAGCCTTGATGATGTTGAGGACATCTACCCTTGCTCCAGAATGCAGCAGGGTATTCTACTCAGTCGCTCTCGCGATAGCTCACTCTACGCTGTACATGACACATTCGAGATATCTGGTTCAGGAAGCACACCCGACATCAACCGATTGACACTTTCCTGGCAGAAAGTCGTTGCTCACCATGCAATGCTACGGACTATATTTTTGGAGGGGCTGAGCAGCCATGATCTACATTGTCAAGTGGTACTCAAGACCTTTGATTCCCGCCCAACTTACGTCGCCTGTGATAATGAAAGCGAAGTGCTATCTACATTTGACAAACAGCAACCGATGAACTACGATAACAATGTACCACCTCATCGGCTTACAATCTGCCAGACGACTTCTGGGAAGTTGTTTTGTCGGCTGGAGCTGAACCATGTCGCCATGGATGGCGCATCAATCTCCATCATCCTTCGCGACCTGCAGTTGGCATATCAAGGAAAGCTCGAAGAACCAAAGCCAAAATTTAAAGAGTATATACGCTATCTTCGTGAAGTTCCTCAAGCCACAAGTCTTGACTACTGGCACAGTTACCTCTTGGAAGCCCAACCGTGCCATTTCCCTGTGCTGAATGATGGAAAAGGCTCTGTAAGGCAACTTCGGACCAAGAGACTGGGCTATGTGCCCTTCAAAGAGCTTCGAAACATCTGCGATAAAAATGGTCTGACTTTACCGACTGCCTTTAGTGCTGCATGGGGATTGACAGTTCGCTCTTTCTGTGGATCGGAAGACGTCTCCTTCACCTATCTTGCATCACTGAGAGATGTCCCAGTAGAGGGCGTTGAGTCTGTTGTTGGGCCTGTCATCAATACACTGACTTGCCGTATACTGTTTGCCAAAGGAACGTCACTGAAGGAGATCCTCGCAAAGGTTCAACAGGATAACCTAGACAACTTGCCGCACAGGCATATCTCGCTCACGGAGATCCAACAAGCTTTGGGACTGACGGCCTCATTGGCTAATAGTGGTATTTCTTACCGAAAGCTACCCAGCCAGAATACTTTGTCAAGCGAGGAGATACAATTTTCTGAAGTCGGAACAATTCACGATCCAGCAGAGTCGCCCATTTTCGTCAATGTTGAAGCTACGGAAGACGACGCACGTATCGACCTTAACTACTGGACAGACCACCTGTCAGACGGGCAAGCAGATAATGTCGCGAGCACATTCCTCAAATCGATTGAAAATATTGTGCACCACTTTGAGGATGACGCCTATTCAATTGACAACTTTAGTGACGCGAACAAACAGAGCCTAACGCTCTGGAATAGCGGGATTCCAGAGTCCGTTGACAAATGCATTCACGAGATAGTCGAAGAGTGTTCGAAGTCTCATCCTCATGCCATGGCAATTTCCGCTTGGGATGGGAATCTCACTTATGCTAAGCTCAATGAATTGTCATCGATACTTGCAGGGTACTTGACAACCCTGGGGGTGGGCCCTGGAACAATCGTGCCCCTCGATCTCGCTAGATCCTCCTGGCAGATTGTAGCCATCTTGGCAGTGATGAAGACTGGGGGTGTATGTGTCCCGGTAGACCCAGCCCGACTTCCACAACACTTCGAGACTTGGCTCGTCGACAACGAGATACAGGTTGCCCTAGCATCCCCGAATCAAATGCAGCTACTCGAAGGGGCAGTTCCGTATGTTATCTCTGTAGAGAGCTCCCTATTTGAATATCTTCCAGAGAGCGAGGAAGTTTCAAGCTCAACGATTCAGCCATGCAGCGATGGATATATCGTGTTCAGCGCTGCGAGTCCCAAGTGCATCCTGCTTGACCATCGTGCAATGACAACTCGGGCAAGCATGTTCGCTTCAGGTCTTGGACTAAATGCGCAAACGAAGATGCTCCAACATTCTCCCTATACATCTGACATGTTCCTTCAGGAAGTCTTCGGCACGTTTCTGTGCAGTGGGACTATCTGCATTCCTTCCGATGAAGGCTTGGCAGACCTATCGAAAGCTATCAAGACAATGCAGGCGAACTGCATCAGCATCACACCCACAAAGGCGATGACTTTAAGCTCCACAGACAATCTAGGATTAGAAATCCTTGCTTTATGGGGAGAACACCCGACTAAGAAGCTTCTTGCCACCTTGCCTGAAGAAGTTCAAGTGCGCGTCTTCTATGGAACCCCAGAATGTTCGTCATCTTGCATTCAATCCTCTCAGCTTGACAGATCAGACGAACTGTCAATCATTGGGTCAAGCTTTGGATGTAAATCTTGGCTTGTAGATCCCTCCGACCACAATGCCTTGGTTCCAGTAGGCTGTGTCGGCGAATTGATGATAGAAGGCCCAAGTCTTTCTCGAGGTTACTATCAAAATGCAGAACTCACGCAGCAAAATTTTATCGAAGAACCCTCATGGAGACTGGCTTACGAATCACTGCCAGCATCAGACAAAGATGAAAATTCGGAGGGCCAGAAGCCGTCCTATCGATTGTTCAAGACTGGAGATCTTGCTCGCTACAACTCCGACGGCACTCTAGTTTACGTTGGTAAGAAGGAGAAGGGATTGCATTGGCAGCGACAGACAGCAGCCATGCACGTCGAAGAGCAAATCGCATCTCTCTCATCTTCCAATGTCCAGTATGTCGTGGAGGAGATCAGTAAGCGCAACAACGACTCCCGCGAATCGTCCCTAGCCGTCTTCTTCTCTGATGAGACCACCGGCTTTGAGGCAAACCACGAGCCTATCGTACAATTGACACCTGAGCTGCACGACTCGATGATCAAATTGTATACCAAGTTGATGAGCTCCTTGCCAGCGAAGGATGTCCCAAGCTTGTATTTCCCGACATCCAGCATACCGCTGAATTCGTTCGGCAAGCTGGACCGCCAGTTGTTAAGAAATGCCGCTCAAGACTTGCCAGAAACCTTGTTGTCCAAATATGACATCAAGCGCTTTGACAGATTCTGGAAAGGGCAGCTAGCTAGACTGGCGGCTTCGCCAGTTTTCCCGTCACCTGGTGATTCCTCGTCTCTGCGGAGCACACCGGTCATCAAGCAAGCAACAAGAACCATGCAGGTGTTCTGGTGTAATACAATCAAGTCAATGACTGGAGGTACACGATGCGCTATTCTTTCTGCATGGGCTCTTACTGTTCGCGGCTATACCGGCTCCCGGGATATCGTTTTTGGGGAGTCGCTGTCAAATGTTGAATCGGTCTTCACTGAGCGTCAGGACAATCATACGCAGGCCACAACTATCGTTCCCCGTCGCTTCCACTTCAACGAAGAATGGACCGTTAATGAGTTGCTGAGTATGGTGAAGAATCAGCTGGATGCAGCTAAGCCCTACCAGTGGGCTGGAATAAGTCAAATCCAGAACCTGAACGCTGATACGGCACGCGCCTGTGATTTCATGAACTTGATCTCGATTACGGACTATTGTGGCCATGGACCAAGGCCAGTACCCTCGCAGCAGCAGGGCAGCACTCTTCCCAGTTATCCTTTGGTCATTGATTGCTTCCTTGAAGATGCGACATTCGAACTTGTGCTTAGATACGATGACAGCACCCTAACAGCTGCTCAGACCGAACGACTGGTTGCCCAATTCTTCGCTTGTCTTGAAATTCTCAATTCCGAAGCCAGTATGAACAAGACAATTGGTGCCTTGTCCAGGGACAACATGGACTTCTGCACCTTCCGCCATGATGTTTCCTACTGGAAGAACTACTTGGAAGATGTTGAAGCTTGTCTTTTCCCAGCACTACGTGCAGATGCGGAGCAGAATACTCATGCTGAGACCCAGATGATACTCCAGAACACGGAAGGTCTGCGTGATTTATGTGAACGTGCACGTGTTAGCCAAAGCTCTCTTCTTCAGCTTGTCTGGGGTTTGGTTCTGCGATGCTACACAGGCCTACAAGACGTGTGCTTCGGATATCATATCTCTGGTGCAAGCGACAAATCTGCCAAGCCTGGCATTGCGAATGAACCAGGTGTCTCGGATACATTCCCTTGCAGAATGCTCTTGAAGGGAGATCTAAAGGTTGCGGACATTTTGCGCGAGCGATTGCGTGGATTGAAACATATGCAGCAGCATCAGTTGCCATGGGCTGAAGTCCAGCACGAGCTGGGGTATGGCGACAGCGACATTTTCAATACCGTTTTCACTTACTCAGAACCATCAAGTGACGAATCGAACCTGGCTGGTCTCACTGGTATTGATTCGAGCAAGTATCTGATTGCTGTCAACGCCAGTCTAGCAGGATCATCAGGAGCCATTAGGTTCGGTTATCAAAGGAAACACTTCTCAGATGCTGATATGGAGGGTGTTATCGATTGTTTCAAAAATGTTTTGGAACAATTACTCCGGCCCTCTTTTTCAGATCTCTTGGTAGGCGAGATTGACTTTATGAATGAGCTTTCCTGCCAGAAGATATCTGAGTGGAACTCGGCGTTGCCCGATCGTCCAGTGCTATGCGCACATGAACTCATCCAACAGCAAGCTTTGCATCGTGCTTCAGCCCCTGCAATCTGCTCATGGGATGGCAACTTCACACACGCACAACTTGACAGATTGTCAACCCTACTAGCAAACCAGCTGATAGGCTTGGGGGTCAAGCCCGACGTCTTTGTTGCCTTGTGTTTTGAAAAATCGGCATGGGCAATTGTCGCCCAGGTTGCTGTTTTGAAAGCCGGAGGAGCTTTTGCTTCATTGGATCCTGCTCACCCAGAAAGCCGCCTACAAGGCATGGTCGATGATCTTGGTGCTCAGGTTATTCTCTGTTCTGAGACCCACTACGAGAAAGCCACCAGCATCTGTCGTCGCGCACTGATTGTTAGCAATAGCGCACTTGACAAACTTCGTCATTCACCTCTTGCTGCTGCAGCCCAAGGGGTAACGGCAAATAATGCGGCCTATGCCATATTCACATCAGGAACCACAGGGAAACCAAAGGTGACAGTCCTTGAGCATGTTGGACTTACCCTAGCCTGCACAGAGTTTTCCAAGGCTCTCTTCATGAATTCCGACACTCGTGCTCTGCAATTCTCAAGCTACACCTTTGACGTCAGTATATTGGAAACAATCATCGCACTTGCTGTTGGTGGCTGTATCTGTATCCCTAGCGAAGAAGAGCGCATGAACAACCTTTCTGGAGCCATCAGAAATATGAGCGCCAACTTCATGAGCTGCACTCCATCTATAGTCAATACCCTGGATCCCAATCTTGTTCCTTCTTTGCGAACGATAGTCCTAGGAGGTGAAAAGATGACAGCAAGCCATTTCGAGCGATGGGCCGACAGGTGTGTTATAAACGCCTACGGTCCGTCCGAGGCTACTGTCATGTTCACGGCAAGCACAAAATCCGACCATACGGGAGTACGCCTTACGGATGACTATGGCTGTATTGGCACGGCTGTTTGTGGCAGAACATGGATTGTTGATCCTCAAGATTACAATCGTCTGGTCCCTATCGGTGCACCTGGAGAGCTCGTTCTTGAGGGATGCACCGTTGCTCGTGGGTACCTCAATAATGACGAAAAAACCAAGGCTGTCTTCGTCCAGAACCCAGAGTGGACAAAACGTGATGGGCTACAGCATATATTGAGACGCAAAGAACGGATGTATCGTACAGGGGATCTAGTGCGCTACAACTCCGACGGCTCGCTTGCCTTCATCTCGCGAATTGACACGCAAGTGAAATTGAACGGTGTGCGTATCGAACTGGAAGAGGTTGAGCAACAATGCCTCAACTATCTTTCGACAGACACTCAGGTCGCCGTCGAGGTCGTTAACCCAGAAGCCAAAACAATATCGAAATGCTTGGCGGCCTTCTTCACTATCAATGAACACCATACGGAAGAGATGGAAAGTGGTGAGTTGATTCTGCCAATGTCGGAGTCCGTAGTTGGCATGGTCAAGAAGCTACACGGTTCCCTAAGCGCCTCATTGCCACTAGCTATGGTACCCAAGCTTTACTTCCCCATGCGGCGCCTGCCGTTTGGAAGCACTGGCAAAACTGATCGCAAAGCTCTTCGAGCAATGGTCGATAAATTCACCAAGGAACGTTTGAGGCCATATGTTATCTTCAATGTTGGCGCAGAAGACCGCTCCGATGTGGGAACGGAAGGAACAGAGGGCGTTCTCAGAACGCTATGGGAGGATGTCCTTAATCTTGCGCCAGGTTCTATCAATGCCGAAGACAACTTCTTCGGCTTGGGTGGCGACTCATTTTCTGCCATGAAACTAGTCGTAGCCGCGGCATCTCAAGAGATTTCACTCGCAGTGGCCGACATATACCGAACCTCTATCTTCAAAGACATGGCAAAGAGATGTGGAGCGGGTGAGGCACAATCTGGCGTACCAACAGTGGACTCATTCAGCATGCTGCCCGAATCTCTTTCGCGCGAGGATATTCTGGAGGAAGTATCTGATCAATGTGGTGTGCCTACGGAGCGAATTGCGGACATCTACCCCTGTAGTCCGGTGCAAGAGGGTCTGGTCACACTCTCTATCAAGCAACCCGGAGCCTATGTCGCTCGGCCTGTGTTCCAGCTTGCAGAGGGCGCTGACCTTGAGAAGTTCAAAGCTGCATGGCAGAAGGTGGTTGATGAAATGGATATTCTACGAACTCGCATAGTACACACCGAGTCCGCCAACTTTGTCCAGGCAGTGGTCACTGATGCCCCTATTTCCTGGGAAATGGCGACAGAGTTGGAGGATCTGACAAACGATACCATCGACTTAGCCAAGAACAACGGAGGTTTGCTCACTGGATATGCCATTGTTGAGACTGGACTCTCGCGTTCCTTTGTCTGGACCATACATCACGCTCTTTATGATGGATGGAGTGTGTCCCAGATCCTTCAGAGAGTTGAGGAGATATACTCGGGCACCACAAAGCCCAGCTCGACGCTTCCTTACAAGCTTTTCATCAATCACCTGGTCCAGCAAGAGGCTCACACCTCGGACGAATTCTGGAAGACGCACCTCGCAGCCCTGTCTTCAAGCCCTTTCCCCCAGAACAAGCCGTCACCTGATGCCATTCGCATTGGTAATCGGCATTACAGCTCACTCAAGATCTTTCGTCCATCTAGTGGAGCTAAGTTAACCGTCCCCGAGACGATACGAGCTGCTTGGGCGCTAATTGTTGCCGTCCACACCGGATCCGGTGATGTTTGCTTCGCCGAAACCCTCATGGGTAGAAATATTGATATGCCTGGCGCTATGGAAGTTGCAGGCCCTCTTTTGACTACGGTGCCCATACGCATGGCTGTCGACAACGAGCTCCCTATCATTCAATACCTTGACACTGTGCGCCAGCTGACCACAAAGATGCTGCCACATCAACATTCTGGGCTCCAGAGAATCCGCAAGTTAAGCAGCGATACCGCCCTTGCTTGCGAGTCCCAGAATCTGCTGGTTATCCAATCAGAACAGGCCCATTCGAACGCAAGTATCTGGGAGCAAAAGAACAACCTCACTGAAGGTGAATTTTTCACCCACCCAATTGTTGTTGAATGCAAGGTCGACGACTCGCAGGTGGCCGTAACCCTTCATCACGATGAACTTGTTTTCGACAGTTGGCAGGCCAAGATGCTCATAGAACAGTTTACTTTCGTTCTGGGTCAACTGTTGTCTATCTCCAATGAGGAATCCAGAAAGATTGGAGAGCTAGAGATTTCCAGTCCGCGCGATAAGGAAGAAATTGCTTCCTGGAATGAGAGAAGCCTAACTTGCATAAACAGATGTGTTCATCATATCATTGAGGAGAAAGCATCCCTACGACCCCAGGCTCAAGCTGTCTGCTCTTGGGATGGACAGCTATCTTACCAGGAGCTTTACCAGCTTGCTTCTTCGTTTGCAGCTTACTTGAGAACCCGTGGCGTCGGCCCGGAGACTCTGGTTCCGATCTGTATGGACAAGTCTATGTGGGCTATTGTCACAATACTTGGTGTTCTCATTGCGGGTGGAGGATATGTTCCCCTTGACCCTGCTCATCCAACGTCAAGACACAAGGAGATTCTGACTGAGGTCGAAGCTCGTGTCGTTCTCTGTTCTCCCAAGTATCAAAACCGGTACTCTGGTTCTGTGAAAGCAATCATTCCTGTTAGCAGAGAGACGATCAAGGCGTATTGTGCCCTTAAAGCGACAACCACCAAGGTCACCAACAGCGCTACACCCGAAAACGTTGCATTCGCTATCTTCACCTCCGGCAGCACTGGTCGTGCTAAGGGTATCATCATCAACCACAAGGCCCTCGCCAGCAGCGGCATGGCATTCGGACCCATGGTGCACCTTAACGAGAATTCTCGAGCTTTCCAATTTGCCTCTCTTACTTTCGATGCTGCTGTCATGGAAACACTTGTCGCCTTGATGCATGGCGGTTGCGTGTGCATTCCAAGCGAAGATGAACGCTTGAATGATGTTGCTGGTGCTATTCGTCGGATGAATGTCTCTTGGTCATTCTTGACTCCATCCATAGCCAGTATCATCGAGCCTTCGTCCGTTCCATCTCTAAAGGATCTTGTGTGTGGTGGAGAAAAGATGTCGCGCGAAGTCATCACTAAATGGGCGCATCGGGTAAACCTGATGAATGGTTACGGACCAACTGAAACCACTATCTTCGCGGTAATTAACACGGATGTTGCCGCCAATCCGGACCCTGCCTGTATCGGCCATGGCATTCCTTGCACTCTAACCTGGGTTGTCGATCCTGATGACCACAATAAACTGACTCCTCTAGGGGCTGTTGGTGAACTGGCCTTGGAAGGCCCTGCACTTGCTAGGGAGTACCTAAAGAACCCCAAGAAGACAGCAGAGGCTTTCGTGGACGAGCCGGAGTGGATAAAAGACTTTCCCAGTGACTTGCCTTCACCGAGAAGGATTTACAAGACTGGAGATCTCGTTAGATACAACTCTGACGGTTCCATTCAATACATAAGCCGCAAGGATCATCAAGTCAAGCTTCACGGTCAGCGCATGGAGCTTGGAGAGATTGAGCACAGACTATATGAGGACCCGCGAGTCCGCCACGCCGTGGTTCTACTGCCAACGACAGGACCTCTCAAGCAGCGGCTGGTCACTGTTCTGTCACTGAACTCTGTGACTTCAGAGAGAAGCATTATTACAGACAACGCATGTGAGCTTGTTGAACGGAGTGGCTCTACACGGTCAGCCTACCAGGAGCTCGTTGCTATCCAGAAGAGCTTGGAGACTCAGCTACCAATCTACATGGTACCACAAGCTTGGGCTCTAATCAAGCAGCTCCCGATGCTCGTCTCTGGCAAGCTAGACAGAAAGCGAATCACAGCTTGGCTGGAAAATGTTGATGATGCTGCTTACGATCGCATAATGGAGGATTACGACAACATAAAGCGTGGTGATGTCGAGCAAGAAGAGGAGAAAGGAGATGACCAAGAGACTTCTGTCAAGCTTCTTCAGGAAGTCTTCTCCCAGGTCCTCAACCTACCATCTCACAAGGTGGGCTTGGACAGGTCATTTGTGAGCCTAGGTAAGCGAGGCAAATCCGGTGACTGGGAGTGGAATTTTGCTAACGAGATGGTACAGGTGGTGATAGCATCACTGGAATGGCTGTGATATCCCGAGCACGTAAACATGGAATCACGCTGACCCTCCACAATGTGCTTCAGTCGAAGTCGATAAAGGAGCTTGCTCTGGCCGCTCAGACAAGCGTCAAGACTGTTAAAAGAGAGGAGAAGTCCAATGAGCACTTCGAACTGTCCCCGATACAGGGAATGTTCGTTCGAACAGCAAAGGATTTCCGGGATTCTTCTCGCTTTAACCAAAGCATGACAGTGCGCGTAACGCGTAAGGTCGAGCCAACGAGGATGCAAAGTGCCATAAAGGCTGTTGTTGAGCAGCACTCCATGTTCCGAGCACGATTGTTCAAGTCTCGCGATGGAAAGTGGAAACAGAAGATTAATGATGTATGTTAATTCTCTCCTTACTGACCCTTTTTGACAAACAGAAAACTGACTGATCTAGGACGTGGATGCCTCATATCGCTTCCGTCACCATATGGTCGAAAGTGAAAATACAATTCTGCCCAAGATCGCCGAGAGTCAACGGTCTGTAAATGTTCAACATGGGCCTATCATTGCTGCAGACATGTTCGAAGTACGCAGCGGTGTCACGATACTTTTCCTGGTGGCCAGTCATCTGTGTGTAGACATGGTGTCCTGGCGTATTGTCCTCCAGGACATTCAAGACTTCCTCGATGCTGGATCATTGTCCCCGGAGAAGCCCCTGTCATTCCAGGCTTGGTGCAATCTACAACTTGAAGAGAGCAAGAAACAGACTGGCAGAGTCCAGCTGCCATTCTCTATTCAGCCTCCTGACCTGAGTTACTGGGGCATGGCGCAGTCCCAGAACCTCTATGGTGATGTCAAAATGGAAGGGTTCACGCTGGATGCCGCAGTCACGACACAAATCCTCGCGGCCTGCAACAAGGTTCTTCGCACCGAGGCCATTGAAGTCATACTCTCCGCTGTTATCCACTCTTTTCACCGCACGTTTACTGATAGAGCGATGCCGACTATTTACAACGAGAGCCACGGTCGTGAGGCGTGGGACAGCTCCATCGATCTCTCAAGAACGGTGGGCTGGTTCACAACTATGTGTCCACTGCATGTTGGTGATGGGTCAGGTGAGTTTGGATCTGGGCCTGTTATGGAGCTATTTCTGACTGCGATAGATTTACTGGACACCTTGAAGCGTGTCAAAGACACAAGGCGTCATCTTAGCAGTAAGAGCCAGTCATACTTCGCGGAAAGCCTGCTTAATCCGGAAGGTAAAGGTGACAATTTCTCTGTTCCACTTGAGATTCTGTTCAATTACCTTGGCCAGCTGCAACAGCTGGAGCGCGACGACTCACTTTTCCAGCACTATGGTGAAGCCTTCAACGCCGAAACATTCGAGATGGCAGGTGATATGGGCTCAAAGACACACCGGTTTGCTCTGTTCGAAATCTCGGCGCTCATCATCAAAGACAAGCTACAGGTGTCGTTCACCTACAATAAGCACATGCAAAAAGAACAGCAGATTAAGGGCTGGATCTCTGAGTGCAAACGAGTGCTTCAGCATATGTCTCGTTTCGACAGCTTCACCCCTGAGCCAACACTCAGTGACTGTCCCTTGCTCCCCATCACTTACGAAGCTCTGAACAACATGGTCAAGAGAACATTCCCCAAGATTGGAATCGAAAATTGGGGTCAGGTTGAGGATGTCTATCCCTGCTCCCCAGTACAAGAAGGTATTCTTCTCAGTCAGCTCCGAGATCCGGAGGAATACCTTTTCCATGTCATCTTCGAAGTGCACCAATCCAAGGGTAGCAAGGTGGATACAAGCAAACTCCGAAAGGCATGGTCCATGGTTGTCAGCAGACACCCTGTCCTACGGTCTGTTTTCATTGATAGCAATTACAAAGGCGGATCCTTCGACCAGGTAGTGGTCAAGTCACTCGATGATGAGGTTATTGAGTTCCAGTGCCCTGAGTCGGATGCAATGGGCACACTCGGAGAAATAAAGCTGCGCGACATCAATGCCGAGAGATCGATGAAGCTCGCCCATCAGCTTACCCTCTGCAAAACAACTTCTGGGCGAGTCCTGTTCAAGATTGAGATGAATCATGCCATTATTGATGGTGGATCGGTTGATCTGATTCTCAGAGATCTCGCACTTGCATACAATGATCAACTTTCTGCTGAAACCGGTCCACGTTTCAGTGACTATGTCAAGTACGTCAGGGAACAATCCCAGGGAGAAGCTGTGGCACACTGGGCAAAGTATCTTTCGGGCGTACGACCTTGTCACCTGCTGGTATCTTCCAAAAAGGGTGGCAGCCACCAACTCGGCGAGCGTATGATATCTTTCAAGCGCTTCTCTGAGTTGCAGAAATTCTGTGAGGAACACTCTGTTACACTCGCTAATTTGACCCTCTGTGCCTGGGCAATTGTACTACAAAATTGTACAGGATCCGATGATGTCTGTTTCGGATATCCCTCTGCTGGCCGTGATTCCCCTGTTCCTGGAATCCAGGATGCAGTCGGTATCTTCATCAATATGTTGTGCTGCAGAGTCAAGTTTTCTCCTGGCCAGACTCTTCTTGATATTGCCAAGAAGGTCCAGGATGATTTTGTCAGGAATGTGCCATATCAACATTCTTCCCTGGCTCAGATTCAGCATGAGCTTGGGATGCATGGAGAGACGCTCTTCAACTCGACTCTCTCCATCCAAAATCGATCTGCCAACAAGGGCAGTGCAAAGCTGCCGCTCGACTTTGAAGTCAAAAAGGCCCATGACCCGACTGAAGTGAGTTGCTACTGTCTCAAGCTTAGACGCAAGCTAACATTTGTTTTAGTACCCTGTAACTGTTAACGTGGAGACTACCAAGGGCAGGGAGGGGGTTTTGCTGAGATACTGGAGCAACGCAGTTACCGAAGCACAAGCGAAGGAGCTAGCGGAGGGTGTTACTAAGGTCTTTACATGCTTCATCGAGGAACCATCCAAGCTGGTTTCAAGCTTGAGCCTCCTCAACAAGCAACCGCGGAACCGTTCGCAACACACTCACAAGGAGCCCATTATCTTGGACCAGCTGATTGACAGCCAAGTCTTGCAGAAGCTGATTGATGACCGCGTGAATGAGATTATCAGCCAGATGCTGAAGGAAGGCAAGCTCGCCATACCCCTTCCTGATCAGAAGACTAGATACTCGAACGTCAAAGTGGTCGAGGCTTCATACCAGGAGGACCCCATCCTGGATGAGAAGGATCTTGCAAATTCAACACCGTCCTTGACAGACGATGGCAGAAGCTCAAGTGACAATGATAGGCGTCTTTGGGATTTGTGGAAGGCTACATTAGGGCTGTCTTCAGACACTATCCAATACCGGAGTAGCTTCTTCAAGCTAGGCGGTGATAGTATTACAGCAATGAAGATGGTCAGCGCCGCACGAGAAGAGGGCCTGCAAATGACAGTGGCGGATGTGTTCAACAACCCGATCTTTGAGGACATGCTGGCTACGATTACTCCGAGCAGCAGTCCGACCTCGAACGCCGATACTCAATGCGCAAATAACATTGAAAAGCTTCTGGAGGTTGATGATGCTGTTCCAGATGCTACGCCACCACAGGATATTTCGGTGCTACGGCCAATGCAGCTCGACGCCATGTCTCTGCTTGATGTCATCTGCCCTAAGATAGGGGTGTTCAAAGGAGGTATTGCTGATGTTCTCCCTGTAACGGACTTCCAGTCCATGTCGATCGCTGCAACGCTCTTCGGATCCAGATGGATGCTAAACTATTTCTTCCTGGATGGAAGTGGTCCTTTGGACCTCCGCCGTCTGAGAGAAAGCTTCTTGAGAGTGGTCGATGCTTTTGATATTCTTCGTACTGTTTTCGTCTGCCACCGCGGACAATTCTTCCAGGTGGTGTTGAGAAAGATCCGACCGGATATTTTCGTGCATGAGACGGAGCAGAGTCTGGACGAGTACACCAACAGCTTACAAAAACGGGACCGCGAACAAGATCCACGCCAAGGAGAGCAGTATGTGCAGTTCTACGTTGTCAAGAAAAAGAAGAGCGACCAGCACCGCATCTTGATCAGAATGTCACACGCTCAATTTGACGGCGTTTGTCTGCCAAAAATCATGAACGCAATCAAGCTGGGATACGAGGGCAGCACCCTACCTCCAGTCTTCTCCTTTTCGAACTATATGCGGATGCTTCCTGGAAACATCACTCCGGCCCACTATCACCACTGGTCAACGATCCTCAAGGGCTCTAAGATGACGGATATCATTCGACGCACGCAGCCTAATACCTTTATGCATATTGGTGCATTCGCGGAGCAGAAGAAGACCATCATGATCCCCTCCACCGCTATAGGGAACGTCACCCTCGCAACCGTTATGCAGTCCGCATGGGCAGTAACTTTGGCGAAGCTGACTGCCCAGTCTGACGTGGTCTTCGGGCTTACTGTCAACGGCCGTAATGCCAGTGTCCCTGGTATTGAGACCACTGTTGGGCCCTGTCTCAACATTCTTCCCATCAGGGTGAAATTCAGGGAGCATTGGACTGGCCTTGACCTGTTCCGTTATCTTCAAGACCAACAGATTGCCAATATGCCCTATGAGTCACTAGGATTCAGAGAGATTATCCGAAACTGCACCGACTGGCCCGACTCTACATACTTCACCACCTCCGTATTCCATCAGAATGTCGAGTATGAAGGACAGATGCAACTGGACGGCAATTCCTACCGGATGGGAGGCGTTGGTGTTCTGGACAACTTCACCGACCTCACGCTGGCTTCCAAGTCCTGTGGCCAAGAGAAGCTCGACGTCTCAATCGGATACTCGCTCAAGGGACCTATCCCAGCAACCTTCATTGCTAAAGCTCTGAACATGGTTTGCGAGACTGTACAGAGTCTGATTGCCAACCCCAGCGTCCCACTTGCCTCTCCTGCCACCATCCGCTCCCTTCCGAGCCAGGTCATTCGTGAAGCACCCAGAGCGTCTGATACACCCTTCCTCTCGTCCAACCTGAACAGTCAGAAGATGTCGGAGATTGTAATTCACTCAGATATCCTTACCCGGTCCTGGCAGCAGGTGCTACCCCGTCGGACTGACAACCCACAATACCAACTCGACGCATCTTTCTTCGATCTCGGCGGAGACATCATGAATGTGGCCCAACTGGTCTGGATTCTGGGAGAAGAAGGTTTTAGTGTCCGCTTGGAAGACCTTCTCGAGCACCATACGTTCCTAGGAATGATGGCCGTGATGGCAATGCACCACAAGCCGGAATTGAATGGCAGCATGGCAGCAACCATGGCTGAAGAATCAACCAAAGACATGAAATTGACCATGACAAAGAGCAACAGCTGGAGCTCATTGGGCAAGGCGATGACGCTTGCCAAGAGATTTACTAGATGGGGGGCTGTAGCAGCCAAGAAGTGAGGTTTACATTCGTTGTGGAGGATACATAACGCACTCTTTTGGTTTCTAACATCTACTATTTCTGTTCTTTCTGTATCACATACTATTATTGTGTTGAACTACATTCCTTTCTGTTTCCATGTTTGATGTTGGATGTTGGCTAGCTTTTGGAAGTTGGAATATGTTGGTTTTCTAAATTTTTGTTAGAGGAGATCGTGTCATTTCATCCAAATAGATTCCTTTCTCACTTATATCTTTTTGGGTCCTTCGACCATTCATTGTATGTTAGGGTTTCAGATGTGTATTGACTTGATCAAGACCGTCCTCTCCACTACTATATTGCCTATGGCTTATGCACTCTAATAAGGCCCATATCCCATACAACATCACCGACAAAACCACTTAGGGCTAGGCTCTCACCTTAGCTACAACAATACCCGGTATAGTAATTACATTACGCAAAGCTCATCCACCGAAGAAAAGAACAAACGCCGGGCTGCGGCGACTCATGTATGCCCCTTATGATTGTCTGGACCTACACAGAAAGAATAGCTATATCCGAACGAACCCATCTATTCAACTCAACCTAGACATTAATCATTGATATTACGTACTAGTAGTTCCTATCTATCAATACCCCCCGCCATGCTATGCGTATCATGCCAAAACCAACAAAAAAAGACCAGAGGTATCTCAAACAACAACAATCTGACAACCAACAAATAAACCCCAGTAAGCAAACTTTTAGCCCAGCTCGTCTTCACATCAAGTCATGAAAAGACAAGCCTAGAATAATCGAGGGGTATATATATGAAAACGCAAAGGGTATAAGAAGGAAGCGAGCAAAGGAGAGAAATAAAATCAGTACCCGTAAACCGAAGCGCGGGACCACTTCCCCCTAGCCCTAATGCGCTTCCCATAGATATAAAACAAATAAGGGATGGGAATCAACGCAACAGCCACAAATCCCAACACACTCGCGGCCCAATCCACGCCCAAACGATGAAACATGATATTAGCGAAGAGGGGGAAACAGCCAGCGAACAAACTTCTCAAGAAAGTGTTCGCGGCGACAGCACTGGCAGAAACCTTCTGGAAGGTATCGATGAGGTAATTCAGGGCGGCTTGGAAGATGGTAAAGAACCCGAAGCCCATGCAGACAGCGCCAATGATGGGAGCGATCCAATGGATATGGGGATCACTAGTCCAGGCGAAGATGAAGAGGCCAGCGGCAAAGACGATCGAGCCGAGCATCATCGGGGGTAAACGGGCTTCAGGGACGGGGAAGTTATTGTTCGCTTTGAAGCGGGCGATGTAGAATTTCTGGTTGAAAAGGTTGATGCAAGCGCCGAAGAGGATACCGACGAGGTAAGCGAGGAAAGGCAAGGCGCCGACGACTTGGTTCCAGCCGCGGACTTCTTGGAATTCGATGGGGAAGGAGGCCAGACTGAGGTAGAGAATGCCGTAGACGAAGGAGGCGTAGATGGCGACGAGGAAGCAGATCGGGGTGGTGAGGAGGGCGAAGGGCCGGATGAGGTACTTGTTGCCGAGTTCTTTGAAGGTGACGTCCCATTCTTCGTGGCGGGCGTGGAGCGCCCAGTTGCCGGTTTCGAAGCGGAGGCGTTGCGCTTTGTAGACGAGGAGAACGGCCGGGTAGCTTTCGTCCAGGAAGATCAGGTCCATCGCTAGGAAGAACATCATCATGATTCCTGTGATGTATTCGGTCCATCGCCAGCCGAGGTAGCTTTGGCAGATGGCTCCGCCGACGATCGGACCTAGTACTGGTCCGCCGACGACTGCCATGGCGTAGCCGACAATGGCGGCGCCGCGCTGCTCCGCGGTCCAGATGTCGCTGAGGACTCCGCCGGTGTTGGTGACGGGCGCAGAGCCGAAGAAACCGCAAAAGAATCGGGTTAGCATGACGGTTTGGAGGTCTTTGGCTGTGGCGGTGCCGAAGGAGAAGATGGCTGCGATGAAGTATGGCGCGAGTACGGCGGGCTTGCGTCCGTAGACTTCGGATAGAGGTGCCCATACGAGGGGACCGAGGCCTGACTAGGTCAGTTTATGCGCAGAGAGCGAATGGTGGTATAGATGGAGACCTACCGAAACCGAACAACAGCAGCGTTGTACCCAATGTCCCGACTTCCTCTCCCACGCCAAACTCCGCATCGATTTGCTTGGTGCCTGTGGAGAAACTGCGCTTTGTCAGTACCTGGGATATAGATCAAGTATCGGCAAGAGAGGAGCAGCAAGCATACATCGAACTAGCCCAAGTCGCACCTATCGCACGCACCCACTGTCAGCACCACATCACCTAAAGAGGTTTATTCAAGTATAACAGCAACCGCACATACCCATAGTAGTCAATCCATACAAGATCGTGGTAACCGCCTTCTTGCGAAAAGTCCAATTCATCGGCCTATACGGATCATCCGGCCCTTCAAAGTCGACAATGACGTCCTCGGAGGTCTTAGTATGCGACAGCGGATGCGTGAATCGCGCAGTTTGCCCCGGTTCGCGACTGCGAATGCGCGAAATCACCGAATGCGCACGGTTCTCGAGCGCCGACATGCCCGATGCCGCGGTGGTTTGCTTCTCCAATGCAGTCGGGTCGTCCGGGTGCACGTATGCGCTGTGGTGGTCTTCGGAAGACTCGACATCTTCGGATGAGAGCGATGAGCGGGAGTGCTCGTGTCGCGACATCTTGAAGAGCAGCAAGCAGTACTATATCTAATCAATCAATTGATTTAATTCCGAGTTGATAAACGGTAAATAGAATCCTTCGAGACACTATGCATATGCGAGAGGAGAATATGATATCAGAGGGACGGAATTAATTAAAAAAAAAAAAAAAGTCCCCGATAAAAATGATGTAAAAAAATCTCCGAATCTCCGAAAAGCAAAAGTAAAGGTGGGATAAGATAATTGCCGAACATGCAACAGAAAGATTTAGTGATAGTTTTGAACGCCACACGGTTTGAGCAAGTACCTGAGACAAAATGAATGATTCAACAAGTGGAGGCAAAGATCCAAATCTCCTCTCAGTCAGGGCAGGATATGCCAGTATCTTTAAGGCACATTTCTTCACTGGCGTGGAACCGAAGCCCGAAGCCGTTTTACCCGGAGAGCAGCGTCATAAGCATCGGACGTCCGATAACGGGACCCTCCAACATTGCTTCTTTGCATTTGCCGCACTCTGATTTGGCCATTCCGGTAGAACAGTCTGCCGGATCGACGTCAATTTCCTGGATAGATCAGGTCCTTTCAATCGCCCTACGCGCACCATGAGTCACATCCTGCACGTATCCCAGCCTGACAGGGCAATTCTACCCGGCCAAGAAGAGAGCGCTTGTCAGGGACGGATGCATCCGATGGGGCAGATAGGTGACAGGGCCGGAAACTTATCCGACCCACGGTGATCGTCGCCACCGCTAGAAAGTCTAACTGTCGGTCAAAGAATTCAAGAAAGGTCTACTATGGTCTAGATGAGGTGAGAGATACGGGCGGGTCGAGTGTATCTATGATTGTCGCTCCTACGTGGTCAGGGTACCCTTGTAAAAAAAAATCAACAAACATGCATTGATTGCTCCGTCTATCCCTTTAATGTCTTGTCTTATCGTAATGTTCCAATGCTGGCGGTAAATGTACAGCGTCATAATACATCAATCATCCATCCTCATCCGGATGTTGTCGCGTGCGCACTCTCCCATTTCTCAACGGCCTCCAGTGCGGCCGTCACTTTGAGCCCAACGCGCGCGTCTAGTTCATAGCTCTCCCATTTGGCCGCCTTCTCTAGGTGCTCCTTACATTCGTGCACTTGGCGGCGCTCCAGCTGTATATCGTTCTCGGTGCTTCCAGCAGCTGGTTTCTCGCTAGATGACTCCGGTCCTCCGTGAATAGCACTGTACGTCGGCCGTTCCATCCACAGATTGGCCGCCATCTCGAAGTGTGCCACCGGGTAGATCCAGTCATCCTTGAGATGTCCGGTGAACTGGGACTTGTCCTGGCTGAAGATGCTCGTGCGAATGATCTCTTTCGCTTCATCGTGCCGGCGCATGGCACGAAAGACAGCTGCACGCAGGAGCTGCAAGATAGCCTTCTCTTCCGTACCTTCGCGTGACCATGTCTTATTGGCTTCGCTTTCGGACCACGCCAGCTTCGTCATGGATTCTTCCAGCTGTTCCTGCGTCATACGACTGTGTCCGTTCCAGAAGAAAATCATCTCTTCAATCGGATCCACTCCCACGGCATCCACCAAGGGCACCTTCCACTCTTTGGCGCGGGCCTCCCACTTGGCGATCTTGCGAGAAACAAAGACGTCAAAAGGCAGCTGTCGAGCCATGAACTTCTTCTTGCCAGCCAATGGCGGCGCCTTCCGGAAGTACTCCACGGCCTTTTCAGCATGTTTAGCTGCGGCAGTAGCATCCGTTCCAGCAACGTTTCGGTATAGGCTGAGATGGGCCGATCCTGCAATATAGTAGTAGAGTGATCGAGACCAAGAGTTGAGTTCGACGCACTGTAATGGTCAGTTTGATTAAGATCTTCTATACCTCAATCAGGACAGCATACCTCGAGGAAAGACTCGGCACAAAGCTCGTATCTGTGGAGGTACATGGCGTTCAGACTCCGTTCGAAAACTCGCAGCGCCTCGACCTGCTTGAGCGGACTGCGGTCTTCTCCACAGAGCAGCTCCAAGGCAACATCTAATTTCTTGTTTGCTCCGTTCATCCGGGACTCTTCCAGCAGCCACAGTTGACTCTTCGGAAAGCGCTTCCGCATCAGGGCCAGCAAGGCCTCCAGCCGTTCCTGGGGATAGCCCTGCACGTCATCGCCAGGGACGGGATCGGGCATTATATCGCAGTACCGGACGAAGCCGTTCGAATATCCGAGAATGGAGAAAGCGGCGAGGGCACCAATCAGGTTGTGGAATTTACTGGCTTGCCAAAGCATCCTCAATCCGCGTTCCTTGTCTCCGTGGAAGCCAATGATTCCCAAAAGCTTACTGAACGCGGGCGGGACCA